GGATCATGAAAAATCTTGGAGAAGTCTCAAAGCTGAAAGGAAGAGACCAGAAAAAATTAAAAAGGAAAAATGATTTACAGGAATCAAACTTTGCAAGGAGATTAAAAGCAAACAAACAAATAAAAAAAACCACCCTATCATTAATTATCTCAGAAAGAGGAGACTGTTATATAAATAAGAATAGACTATAAAAAGGAAAATTCTGAAAATAAAACAGAATTATCAAAAAATAAAAGAATTCTAGAATTTGTAAAAATTAGAAGATTTGGAAGACAAAATGGGGAAAACTCTTAGAAAAATTAAAATGACAAAGGGATAGAAGATAGGAGTGGAAAGAAAATTTGACCAAAAATGGACCCAAACACTGTTGGATAATGGAGAATGGAAAGAGAGCATGTGTGTTGGGAGAGCAGAGAAAAAAGGACGTAATCCTTTTCTTGCATTGTGGAAAGTTGGTAGATAATGCCTAAACGTAAACCAAAACAAAGCGAAAGATCGAAAGTGTCTCTGAGAAGGGAAAGCGGGGTGAAGTATGCAAGGCCCTGCTGTTTTTTGCAACAAGACTTGTAGAGCGATTTAGCTCTTTAAACTATATGTGTATCTATAACTTTTATGAAAAAGGTAAAACAGGAAAGTAAAGCACACTTTCCTTAGAGAGTTCCATCTTTTATTATCATCGCAGAGCATTTTGTTTCTCCTAGATTTTTTTTTACGCCCTTTTGTTTTTTTCTCATTGACAAGAAAATAACATGCCTTTAATACCTTCAAGTTTTTCTGTCTTCTCAGTCGTACTCCATACTGCACGGGGTTTCTTTCTTCTTCTTCTTTTTTTTTTTTTAATTTTTTTCTCCAGCTGGAACCCTCTGTCACCCTGTTCCAATCTGGACCACTTACTTTCTAGGCTGCCCTCTTGTCCCATGTCTTTTGTTTTGCTTACGTACATCATCAAGAAACTTCCTAAGAGTGATGCATAGCACATAGATTTTCAGTTCCTAATTGTACCAGTTACACACTGGGTAGGCCATTAATGTATACTTCAACCATGCGAGTTCGATTTTGATGCAGTGTGGGGCAACTGCTTATCACAGTGTTGCTAAAGAGACTCAGAACTACAACTTGCTTCCATACAAAAGCCTCGTCACCTTCACTCGTGGGAAACCAGCAACAAAAGAGAGAGCCCCAGGTTTCTGGGAACTGAGTCTTTATTGGGAGAGAGAGTTTGTTGAGTTCTGCGCGTTATTTCAGAGTGCGGAGTGACTTTCTTCTTTAGGGCGAGGTCACCAGAAAAGATGAGAGAAAGGTATTTCTTACATGGGGTTTTCCGGGAATAAATTGAATCCAGACACAGCTATCTTTCATGACATGAGTGTACAGCAGGTTCTACATGGCCACGTGAAGGGACTTCTGAAGGAGAATGTGAGTGTAAAACAGGTTTTATTAGCATCGTTTGAAAAATTATTTGTTAGCCTCTGTGACCATTCACGAGTAGCCAGGGCACTGAGTAAGGCAGAAAGGTTCAGTCTTGGCTCACTAGTCAAGGCAGCCAGAGTGGATATAATCAGCCCCACAAAGGACATTCACACAACGATGAATCTGGAGAACAGATGGCATATCATTTGGTCCTACAGATTCCCATGCACGCTCAGCTCATTCCTGTCCTTGTACTTTGTGTAATTGCTTATTTACTCTGTCAATAAGGTCTTCTCAGTTTGTTTTTAAGTCCCACTCTAACTGATTTTCTTCTCTTAAACTTCATCGTACGCAGTTGGCATGATCTCTTAGCATTTATGGTTTTCTTCAGGCAGTCTATCATCCCCTGATGACCGAAGTATGTTATAGTCTCAAGAAGGTCTCTGAACCTCCTAGATGGATGTGCTATTAAAGATGGCAGGTTTTGAGAAACTCCATTTCTCACAGATTTTCAAAGAAAATGACCTTTGGTGCTCTGAAGGAGGCAGTTAATGGGAATTCTAACTGCCTGTTCTTGAGATTTTCTAAGCAGGCTTCCGTACTTGGTAGCAGCTGATTGGCTGTCCCAGAGTTAAGTGGACGACCGAACTAGTAAACTGAAAACTCAGCTCCCGATGTGGGGTCTTCTTTCTTAGCCTATGTGGAAGAAAGCTTGGGAAAAAATAAATAAATAAATAAAAGTGCAAACAGTCAGGCATCTCATTGAGAGGGACTTACAGTAAGAAATAAAAACCTTGCTCTAGTATGAATTTATACTATATAATTATCCCACGATAATGGAGTAACTGCAAATGAACCCTGTGGTGGAGGAGGTAGGTTCTTTCTCTGGAGCAATTATCAAAATTTATTTGGTGTCAGAGAAGAAAAAATTCCCAGGTATGTGACTTATATCTAACAGTTACATAAAAGCCGTAATTAAATGGGAATGATAACTGGGGTGATTTAACTGCTAGAGGGCGAGATGGGGAGGATCGTGTGGATAAAGACGTTGCTTCAGTGTATAAAGATATGGATTCATAGCTAGGATTTATTAAGGGCTTATTCAGGGTAAAGTAGCTCATAGATGTTTTAAATGTATTATTTATTTAATTCTCACAACGACCCTGCGAAGTGCTATCCCTATGTCACTGAATAGAAAATGAGCTCGAAGAAGTTAAGTAACTTTCCAAAGATTAAACATCTCAATGGGCAGAACTGATCTTAGGCCAGAGTCCATGCCTTTTCTCTAACCATGAAATGATTGTTGAAAGAGGCTAGTAGCAAACTGAGAAAAGTTGTAATATTGAAGCATGAGGTTAATGTATGTATGGAGCAGAATTATGGTGGACAAATTTAGCAGTTTTGGTGAGAGTTCAAATCTAATCGTATACTTAATATCTTCACATTTTAAAATGTTCATTTTGTGGCATCTTTGGATGCTGACTAGATCTCTTGGATATGGAGAGCTTGGTTCTAAATCAGCTTTGTCACTGGCTAGTAACAGACTTTGAACATGTTACTGAATGCCTCATATATCGACTCTAAAATACATTCCATCTCTAGATTTAAATACAGACACACACACACACACACACACACACATACACACACAGGCTGAATTGCTAGAATAAGGGGACCCGCAGCTAGTAGCAAAGCCATAAAGAATCCAAAGAGAGGTCCTTACTTGTCTCTCCCTTGAATTATGTCCTCTCGGGTTTCTTTTCCTTAATGAAAACATTAGAAAGACTTTCAAAGTAAGTTTTTAGTACTTTGGTCAAAGATAGATACAACCAAATCCACACAAATGATATTAGAGATCTTTTCATATTTATTTGAAGGAATCGAACTGGAACAACTTTGAGGATAACTTAATAACAGGTCATCCAAACTGCGGCCCGGAAGTATAATACTTTTCAGTCAGTTTTTCAGGGATGAGGAATAGCGCTGTGTTCTCTAATAATGGTGTGACGTCACTGAATTTGAATGGTTAGCAAAATAATACAAGATTTTCCTGGTACAGCACTGTTTTCAAGTTTGTGGCAACTTCTCCATTTATTGTTGGGTTCATTCTAATACCCAAAATATCATTGAGCATAGTGCCACAGTGATGTAATTTTGATGAGCCATTTATTTCCTCTTACTTTGTGAAAACAAGTTGTTTTCTCAGATGACTAAAAACAGTACACTTAAAAAAATTCTCCCCTAACCATGTGAGAAGGATGGTAAATTTAAAAATCCATAAATGTTTGAGCTTTCTGTTGTCAATTAAATGTATTGAATCAAGCAAACCAATTCTGAGGGAGGAAAAACATCAGTTTAATTTACTCAGCAGTTGTCAGGAGCTGTACAACGTATGGATTTTATTCTACCTGCAACTGGTAAGTCAATTTATTACTGTTTCTTGGATGCTGGCAAAAGATGTGAGACTCCTCATTCAGGGACAAGGACTTTATCACTCACGGCAGAAGCAGTAGCCAGGGCATCGGTATGATGCTCACTCCAGTTCCCCATACCTCTGAGTCCCATGGAGTCAATATCTATTATGGATGTTACGTTAATTTACTAAGGTCACTGTAGCCAAACACACAGACAAGACGAGATCCCACAACAGAAATTTATTGTCTCATAGTTCTGGAGCCTCCAAGTATGGGATCAAGGTGTTGGCAGGGTCTGAGGGACATGAGAGAAAGATTCGTTCCTGGCCTCTCCTTGGTTTGTAGATGGCTTCTCCCTGTGTCTTCACATCATCTTCCCAGTGTCCAAGTGTCCAAATTTCCCCTTCTTATAAGGACACCAGTCAGATTGGAGCCCACCTTAATGACCTCATTTTAGCTTAATCACTTCTGGCAAGACCCTGTCCCCAAATACAACCACATTCTCAGGTAATAGGGTTTAGGACTTCAACATGAATTTTTGAAGGGGCACAATTCAGCCCATAACAGAAGCTTGCTTACACTAGTAGTTGAGTGTATTACAGGAGAGGAACACCATGGAAACAAGCTTGGAGAATTCACCATGGAAACAAGCCTGCTCATTTCCAGGGAAGAAAACCTCATCCCTCAAGTTTTCTCACTGCAGACAAAACTCTGAGGAAAGGCCTGGGTAAAGCGTGGGCAGGGCCTCGCATCCATGGCATGCAGCAAGAATGTGCAGGGATGCTCAGGATCCATGCAAATTGTCTCTCCCCAGAGCAGCAGTCAAAATCTCAGATTAAGGCACAGCCGTCCTCGGAGTCTTTATCGAATCGGGTTCTGTTTTGCACAACCGTAGATTTAATCCCACCTGTCCAGCAGTTGTCTATATTGAAGAACAACCTGAGCCACAGCTCTTTAGTGTGTACTGATTATATTCCTAAATACCTTTAATATTTTACTCCACGGAGTAAATGTGGAGCTTAGTCCACTGTTATGTCATCTGCTTTTGTGGCGTAACGAGAAACATTTAACTTAAGGGACGAGATGATTTCTTTACTAGGCAGTTGTTTATAGCAAAGGAACTCAAAAATATGTTCAGAGTCACTGAACGAAAATGATTCTTATTTCTTCCAACAGATGGAACTGCTACTTTTATACGTTATACTTTTGAACCTGTTTGATTTTTCATCAGGAATAACATATAATAAAGGTAAGTTTCAGACGCTCGTACTCTCCATGTTATTCTTAGGCACTGTCCTTTATGTCCTTTCCTCTCTAATAGTTAAAATATTCTCCTTTAGCACTCCTTCATTCCATTATCTTCCGGTTTTCCCTATTGTACTCTAGTTCAGACATTTCTAAAAATATCGTTGTGAATCTATTGTTCTTAAGGTGTATACATAGTTGTATTTTATTATATTTCATCACTTATAAGTCATAGAATCTTTAATGTTTAAGGAAAACTTTATCTTTGCAAAACTTTAATTATTCGAGTAGATATTTTTTATTTTTCCTCCACAAATAGTTACATGTAGTATGAATTGTAAACTGAATTATAAGGCCAGTAGATTGTGACTGAAGAGAGTTTTCTGAAAGGAAGCTAGTTGACCCTTGAACAACATTGGGGGTTAGGGGTGCTGAACCCCATGAAGTAAAAAACCTGTGTATAACTTTTGACTCCCCCAAAACGTAATAGTATCTGTGGGAGATGGATTCCCCACAAATACGAAAATCCACACATGCTCAAGTCTCTTACATGAAATGGCATAGAACAGTGCACGCAATTGTTCTTCACTCCTACAGATTCCCAGTGGCATATCGAAGGTACCATCTTCAATCCTCATTTGGTTGGATGTGAAACTCAGGGATATGAAGGGCCAAATGTATATTTATTGAATAACATCCACATATAAATGGACCTATGCAGTTCAAACCTATGTTGTTCAAGGGTCAACCGCACATGAATTAAATTAGGCAATAGGACTCTTATGATGGGAAAACTGTGTCCAAGGAATAAGGCAAATCCACCTTCATCTTTGTAGATTGTTTAGATTCTGTCGCATCCTGGACTGGGTATACTAGCACATGGTAAATGCTCGATCAAAAAATTGTCGATGGCAATGGAATGGAAACATTTCCAGCTGCCGATATTCAAAATACTTTCTCTAGAGCATACTTTTTTAAAAAAGTATTAATATCATGTTTATTGTTCAGATGTCACCTTTAATTTGAAAGGACAGATTTAAGTTCTGATTTACTTTTTCGAAGATCTCCGCCAGGAAACATATTCCTGACAAACATTTGCTGTCTCAGAAAGATCAGAAAATTTAGAAACTTTTTTCTTTTATTTTTTAGCAATGGGAAAAAAAAAATCTCTAACTCATCTTTAAATTAGGCAAATTTTCAAAGTAATTTGCCATTGTATATCATCGAAACTCACGTTTGCTGCAAAACATGTTTGTACTCACCCTAATCCTTTAGTGTCCTTTAGTGTTTTTGCTGCTTCTGGCTTCAACTTCATTGTGACAAAGAAAACCAGAGCTGGACAGTAGTTAAAACTGTAGGAACAGACTTTATTAGGAACTCTTGCAACGGGGAAAAAGAGACCTCAGTATAGAACTGGGCTCAATTCCAAATACAGCCTGGAGAAGTGGGGTTTTACAGCCAAGGATCAAGTTGGGGTTGGAGGTTTGGTAGGTGGAAAATTACTAAGAAGGGACATCAGAGATAGGGGGCTAAACTGACCAAGCAGAATTCTTGCGGAGGGCAGGTCAGGCTGATCACCTGGGTGGATGGTTGGGGATGAGGAGTTCGATTAGATACAGAGAGTGGTCAGAAATCGAGGATGGAGATTCTCTCTAAACTGACTTAGCAGGATTCTTGCAAAAATGGTTATGCAGATCTAACAAGGGAGGGTGAAGCCTCGTTGAGGAGAGGGCTTAGTGCCTGACTGAAGTTTAGTTGAGGAGAGTCTTTGTCAGTTGCTGCAATTGTGTATCCACGAATAGAGCGATGAGTGAATTTCATAAATAGTGTGTCTCTGTGTCCCAGAGTGGTTTTCCTATTCTAGTCCGAGCAGACATCTCATCAGTGATGGCGCTCGTGTAGTTTCCCTTTATATCATGATCCTTTTGAACGTCACATACTGTTAAGAATGTAACTTTGCTGTCAGGCCTTTCCTTCAGAGGCTCACAAAAAAGTAGCTCTTTTTGTATTTCATTATTAAAACAGGATTTAGAAAATGCCATAATCTGAGAATTTCTAGGCAAAGGCAGGAGGGTTAGGAATTGCTTCTCTCTCTTGCCACATTCTCTCTTCTGTTTTTCCCCTGCCAACCCTTTCGTAGCCCAAGCTCGAAAGGTCCCATTAACTCAAGGGAGTAATTCACAAAATGTTACCAAAGTGCTGAGACAAGTTTTAGAAAAAAACTTCCATTTGAACCAGATCTTAAAATGTGTTAAAATTCAAAGCAGAGACTAGAAAAAGAGAGAACCCCATGAGCACTCCAGGGGTGCCGGAGTGCAGGTTGCATGCAGGGAAGTCAGAAAGAGGGGCTCAGTTGTTTAAAAATTGCCTAGCAGGATAAAGAGAAGATGGCCCTTAGGGACAGAAACATCTTGGTTCTAATCTAACTTACTGCTGTGAGTTGGGGGACCTTTGAGCAATAACTTAATATTCCTGAGTTTTGGTTTCATCTTCTTTAAAGAGGAGACAATAAAGCATATGGCACAAGGTGACGTATAAACCCAGAGTCTGGCTCAAAGTATGATTGCAGGTTATTCATCTTGTTTGTACAACATAACAGTTTGATGCTCAAAATCCTCTAAGTAAACATATCAATGCGAGTATCACCAATGCAGCTTAACATACATTTTGAGGTTATAACGTTAAACAGTTTTCAAAGTACTGTTCGACTCATACACTTACTTTGACCACACCTGACGATGCTGCCAGTTCTATTTTTTAAAGCTATCACTTGATTCTAAAGTCCAATTCACTTCTCTGCTTAGAAATCTTTATTCGCACTCCATTGCCTAATGAATAAACTCTTTAAAAGAACAGAGGCTAAGCAGAAGGGATATACACAAAAGGAAATTAGAAAGGAATTTAAATATTTCACTGCAAAAAATAAAAATCAACTAACTACAAAAGGAGAGAGTAATACAGGAAATGAGGGACAAAAATGTTGTAAGGCATATAGAAAACTAATAGCAAAATGACAGAAGGAAGTTTCTCTTTATCAGTAATTACTTTAAATGTAAGTGGATTAAATTCTTCAATCAAAAGACAGAGATTGGCAGTATGGATAAAAATACAGGGTCCAAATCTATGTTGTTTATAAGAGATTTACTTTAGATCCAGATGAGAAAGGGTCTTCCTCCCAACCACCCACTCTTTTGGGTAGAGGAGTCACTTTCATATTAAAAGCTCTCTATTAAAACATAAATTCTCTTTCCAGTCTCCAACTCCTGTCCCTTTTATGGGCTCACTGAGGTTGAGAAGCTTAAGAGTCAAGGACTGTTTTTTTGATCACCTCTGAAAAATTTGCACCATGTGGTATCTTTTATTTTAATGTTCTGTCAAACCTTCCTTTTTAGTGTCCTCATGTGGTATCTTTAAAATTAAAAACAGTGGAAGATTTGAATTTTATCCAGAGTATATAATTATATTCTTTTGAAAATATGGTTTTCAGTTTTAAAATTATGGTTCTTTTAATGGAAATTCTTCTAGTAGTGACCTAAGATATATAGATAGATCGATATAGATATAGATATATAATTTTTTTGTGTGTTATTTAGGTGATATAGAGAAGTACTTTACTTGTTCTAGCCAAGGACTCCCCCAAAAGAATGAAATATTCAAGTTGTATCTTTCCTTAGACGACTTGGTAAGGTCCACTAATAGTATGTTGCAACCTTTACATTTCTTTAAACTCCATGTATAAAACCATTAATATTGTACTCTTTTCATATACCTTTAATAATTACTTTAAATGTAAATGAGTTAAATGCTCCAATCAAAAGACATAGGATGATCTTAACTACTAGAAAAACTAAATGAGTTAAAATTCTTTCTCATGTTGGATTTCAGTAAAATCCACCATTTGTGATTTTCGTATACCTTCTCAAAGCTGGGAAATATCCAATAAAATGCAGTATGATGTTTTGCTTTGTTTAGACACAAACTAATAATTTTAATAAAACAATGATTTCTACATGCGATAGCATGTGTCTTTGATTCTATGTTTATTAAGTATAATAATTTTATAACCATTTCTGTGACAGAAAAATTCTTATAAGGATGAATTGAAACCTATTTTGATACTAGCATACTAGGTTACTGAGTTCTGAAAGTGTGCTTTTCAAAATAGACTTTTCTTCCTACTTAGAGACTGGAATTACTAAAGATAGAAGTCATTAGCAGCATCTGCTTTTCATAGATTTCTCTTCACTTTTAAATTAATGTACTATGTTTCTCTCCATTGAATTGTCATTACTTATTTGTTTTGTTTGTTTTTTTCCTCCTCTTTTCTAAAGAAAATCCAGTGTATTTTCCAACCCCAAAGTGAGATTTCTTCAAGGGAATTTATGAGTGCATTCACATCAGGAGGACTTGCTCCCAGCTTGGGAATCATAAATAGTACATATACTGGCATCTTCCACTTTAATTTAACTTTGGTAATTACATTTATTTATTCTGTGATGTTGTTAGCAAGAAGCATACTCTTCTTTATAGGATGTGTTTTTTACAAAAATGCCTAGTCAAGTAATATTATGTCTATATGTTTAAAACCAATAATACAGTATTATACTTGCCGCTTTAAACAGTCATATATTTTTTAAAGAAATTAAAAGAAGAAAGGAAAAAAATACATAATGATTTTTCACTATCTACCTTCATATTTACACTTTCCACTGCTTTTCATTCTTTTCTGTAGATGTAAATTGTCATCTGCTAGCATAATCTTTCAGCCTGAAGAATTTCTTTTAGCCTTTCTTATAGTGTAGGTCTAGTGACAACAATTCTTTGGGAGTTTTTCCCCTTGAAAATGTTTTTATTTCACCTTCATTATAACACTTTCATTAAGACATGATTTACATACCATACAATTCACCAACTTAAATTGTACAATTAAATATTTATAGAGTGTGTACCCCCTATGTTTTCTACAAAGTTCCTAGTTTGACTTTTTAAATTTGGTTACTGATCCATTTTGAGTACATTTTTGTGTGTGGCGTGAGGTCAGGGTTCACATTCATCCTTTTGCCTGTAGATATCCAGCTCTGCTAGCACCATCTATTTAGTTGACTATTATCCT